ATATTCAAAAAAAAGTAAGAAATATGTAATGAAAGTGATTTGTATTTTGAAGAAGCTTCATGTTTCCAATGATTTATAAAAGCATATAATATTGCGTCTTTGCTCAATTGCTGCTTTTTCAATTTGACACTAAGTATTATTCTAAAATGTTTATTTATTTGCAAGTTGTAAAATAGTTGGGAAAATTCTGCAACATATTTAAGTTAAAAACTTACGTCTTCGTTAAAGTTTACTTAAGACGGTGATATAGGTCATTTGGGTTGCAGTGGCAGACAAAAATTTTAATCTGTTAAGGTGTCATTCAGGTGGCCAACATTGTACGTTTATTTTGCTTTTAATGTCGAGTAGGGCGTAATAACATTTAAATATCCGACATCAAGAGGAAACAGTGATCTTACACTCACGAAGTCCTTGGGTTCAAAAGCCCTGCCGCTTATTTTATCTTGATTTTAGAAATAGATTGCTGAGTGGGTCGACCTTTACGATTTTGCATTTGCGAGTGGACCAAACAATGTCCGGGCTACAAAATTAAGGTTAAGTCAGGTACGTAATTTATAAGTTAATGTCCATAGTAGGCATTTAAATTTAATTACAGAATAGAAATCAATAAAATCTATGTCAGTTTTTTAATTTTCATTGATATCGAGGCATCCCTTGTCGTTCTGCTGCAGTATCCACGTGTCAAGCAAAGTTGAGTCTAATCGACTGTCAACTGCAGAAACTGGGAATATTTCCGTTCTAATTAATCTTGTAGGAAATCCAACTCATGGTTGCCTTCCCAGAAAAATTATAACTAATATCGTGTTGCCCAAAATGTATTGATGTAGAGAAATATAATTTGTCGTAAACGAGGCCCGTTTAAGGATAGCTTAGCCCAAAATAAGACGTATAGCATGGAAATGAGCGGCGTAATTGATGATGACGGATCTTGTGGGTTTTGGTCCCTCGAGCTTTATTCTTTTCCATATCTGAGGTCTGATAAATTGTTCAGTTGCACGAACGTGTAAAGAATGCTTATAAAACCTTTTTGTGGATATTATGAATGAGGGGCACTTAACCTATGTTAATTATTCACCGTGAAGCGTGAAAGAATTGCGTCGGATGGAAGTAGGAATAAACATAGCGTCTGGAATTTCGGAATTAACACGTTTTCTTCGAACCTGTAAAAAATACCAAAAACGAATTTGACTTTCATTATTGTTAATAAATTTCTTCCTTTAAATCAGCATTTTTTAATTCCTTGGTACATCTAGAATCTAGAACCGTTTCTGACAAATTTTCCGCATAAAAGCCTTTGCTACTCGTTTACTAACCATTTAGGTTATGTCCGAGTGATCATAAAAAAAGCTAGGAGGAACGGCATAAACCAGACCTTAACACAAATCGCGAAATAAGTGTCTTTGCAACATAGAAGTAATAAAACGACATTGTTCGCTTACATATGCCAAACATGATTTTTCCTAGACGGTAGAGTTCCACAAGTTAGAGACGGAGCCAAGCAAAGCAAAGCGAACGTTGTCAAGGGACCATGTAAACAATACAATACAAAAAAATGGGACGCCTGGTTTCATGCGTTTAAGTTGTTAACATTCAAAAAAATAAACAAATAAGTTTCTTGTGAAAATCATTTCGAACATTGTAAAGATTGCTGCATTTTAATCTTGTTTGATGAAAACTGATGGTTTAAAGAGAAACCGGCAAGGGTAAAACCAAAGAAGCAACTTAACAAATTACCAATACTTTGGTAGTAGTGTATTTGAGGCTTATATTGTATTCCGATTGTATCCCCTAAACTTTGTCTTAAAAGGTTTAAATCACCCATAATAATAATAATTGGTCCACTGTTTTATTGATTATCGATTTTGATTTGCAATCAAAAAAATCAAGTATTATTTTATAAAAAAAAAATTATACAGATAAAAACGTAAGGTCTTATAGTATCACAAAAATTTTATCTAGAAGGATTATTGTTCTTAAATAGGCTTGCAACGAGTTGAGATTAGTTGCATAAGATTGGACATAGTTTTCTGCAATAATAATAATTTGTCGTTCAGAATTATAGACAGAACATATTGTCTAAAAATAGTATAGTGGAAACCTGAAAAAAGTTGATATAAAAAAAACGGCGGTATAAGGATCTGCGGCGATTTTAAGGTGACCTTGAACCCCCAACTAGAGGGGGGAATGATATTTTCAAAAATCGACCTTTCAGAAGCGTATCAGCAAATTTTGCTCGACGATCGGTCCAAAGAGTTGGTTACCATCTCCACACGTAAGGGGTTGTTTTCTTATTAAAGATTGCCTTTCTATGGTCTCCCAAAAGAAGTTTCCACCGATAATGGTCAGATTTTTATGTCCGAGGAATTCCAAAATTTTTTGGCAAGTTAGGGGATCATTCACAAAGCGGGTGTTCCATATCATCCGGAAACGAATGGGCTGGCCGAATCAGGCGTCAAAATTGCAAAAAGAGCATTACGCAAAGGATATGCGGATGGGGTGACCGATTTACAACTTATTTTAGATACTTTTCTTTTTCAATACCGCAATACACCGCACACTACGACCCAAGAATGTCCAGCAAAAATGCTTTTTGGTCGCTTTTTACGCACTAGATTTGATTTAATTTTACCTTCGACCGAAAATATTGTAAAAGAAAAACAAAACAAAATAGAACTTAAGCGCAAAAAGAAAGGGGAACTGTCATTTTCAATTGGGGAGAAAGTATGGACCCGGGACTACCGTCCAAACAAGGATAAAAGCAGGTGGTGTCAAGGGGTAGTTCGAGATATACTTGGCCGAAGAACTTACGTGGTTGAGTTGGTCGGTGGAGTCACATGGAAAAGACATTCAAGTCAGTTAAAAAAGTATCATTGTAACGACAAGTTTTGCCCCAGCAAGGAAAACTCCATAACAGCCCCAAATAAAAAAACTCCTCGATGACTCCACCTTCCAACGTAACAAGAAACAGATCAAGTAATACTGTAACGTCAGTTAGGTCTAGCGATAGCGAAACATCGGACTCAAAAAGTGAAGACGTTATCTCAAACAGTGAAAACAACCCCAGCGTCAATGAAGTCCCAAGTGACCACGGTGCTCGTGTGCTTCGTAGACGTAGTAAGATTTACCCTCCAGATCGTTTACAAGTCGCCCAGTAAACGTGACACTCATATCTAAATGCAAGTATACATAAACACCACTAGAGTTAAGTTAGTTTCAGTTTATTATAGGGGAAGGTGTTCTATATGCGAGTTTTTTATATCGCAGTTTAGTTTAGGTTTTTTTTGTAAACCGTGATGCGGTACGTTTTCCTAGGGCTATCCACGGCAGTTACTTGCCGGGCCGCGCATTGTACGAGTTGTGAGTAAACGGTTGCATTGTCGTGGTCGAGTTTCATTTCGCGTTAAATGAATACATAACAGGAATTTATAAATTAATTATTTGGTGGGGACTACACGATTGTAAAAAAATATTTTTATTATTAAAATCGCTCTGACTCTATTACAGATATAACAATGCGAATATATTTTCATAACATAGGAGAACAAAATTTCAAATTGTGCAATTTAGGGTTTTGTAATTTTAACTAAACCTCCATCCAAAAAAAAAATGACGAATCAAATAGTACCACTCTAAATTAGTTATACCTCAATACTGTGTTTTTCAATTCAGACGCCTGCCAGAAATACCGGTTTTGAAGCAGAGTCCTAAGGTGTGTGAATTAGTTTCAAGAAATGTACACTGTGTGCCAAATAAAACCATCCACTATATAATCTGAAAACCCATAGGAGATAAGAAAATAAGTTTCGTTCAAAAGTTTCTTGAACTCTCCTGAAGATTAAAGGTATAATACTCCAGATATACGAATAAAACCTACTGCTAACAATACAGGGTGTCCATTAATACATGAAAATTAAAAAAAAAAAAGAAAAATGAATAATTAAAGTTTATAGGCTAACTAAACAAGGTAACAAATTTGAATAAATAAATCTATAAAACAAAAAAAACAGAAACAAATAACTAAAAAAAAAACTTAAATATGGCGATATTGTATTATATTTTCAATATATTGTCTATCCGCTACAATAGACATTGTATAGCGCGTCACAATATTATTTAATGCAAGACTCTTGTCTAATTTTCGAACCTCGAAATATTTAAACATCGAATATATCAAAAAGTAAGTAAAATTAAAAATATAAGATAAATTACACTTACTTACCTTATTTTTTGTCTTAGAATTGATATTTGAATAAAAATATAGTGTGTTCTATTTGAAAATCTTTAGATTTTGTTAATTGGCTTCGCCAAAACGGCACCACCCATTTGGGACACCCTGTATAAGCTGCCGCGCATCTGTCAAACTGATTGAGTAGTGCATCATCTCCTTAGTCTGTGGTTAAATTTTCGTTCCTATATCTGGATCAGTAGCGTCACAATTTTATATGGGGCAATCAAAATATGAAAAAAAAAACACATAACCTCAATTTCTGGCTAAACTATGCAAAATTTGAATAGTTTTGACTTAAGAAAGTGACTTTTATTTTAACCAAGGATTCCAAAATTCCGAAATATATAGGGTGTTCCATTTAAGATAACAAAGTTGATGTCGGTGGAGGGGGGTCACTTTTGAGACACTTTTGTACGAAACTTTTTTTCGTATCTCCTGTGGGTTTCCAGATCGTATAGTGGATCATTTTATTGCCCACACGGTGTACCATTCCGTCTTTCAGGCTGAAAGCTCAAAGGCGCCTTTCGAGGGAGCACCCCCGACCTTTTATTAGTGCGGTTAAAATGGTCCCTTCAGTGTGTTCTTTTCTTAATAAAATAGCAATTCTTTCATCATCATCATTGTTAGATATATGGCCCGCATTTTCTCCTATAAACGTCGAATACAATTGCAGATTATAAACACTGCAGTATAACTATTTACCTAGTTAATATCACTGAATTTCTTCCCTCTATCCGATAAAACAGCATAATTACAGTGGCGACGCACTTACCTTGAGCGGGTGAATAAATATTCAAATAGAGGCAGTCTTCACTTTGATTCCTTAAATAGGGCAACAACCTTTTCAGGTATTCTAAACGTCCCCGGGGCATTCTCTCTAGAGCGGCGGTTTCGTTCGAAATGTCGGGCAGCTTTTGGGGGCAGACGGGCCCCATTTTATCCGAAACTCGAACGCCGTCCCAAGGGGAAGGAGTCCTGGTGGGACTGAAACGATTCGACTGGACCGGCGGCGTTGCGTATGGCACCCCCAGGAACACCTATAATTAGAAACTTTCCAGAGTGAAGACCCATACTTCTCGTTTTATAAACATGTTAGATTTAAATGAGGGTTTTGATGAATAAACAACAGGCAAATGAAAAATCGAGGACCTTAATTTCTTTTGATACGTTCTTTTTTTAATTAAGGTTTTTTACGTAGCACCAAACGAGCACGCAAAATTTTAAGCGTTCATTCCAAGGCATTCTCCAGATTTTTCGACGATAAATTAAATTGCTTGTTTCCCTTTTACTTTTTTTTTTGGGAGATTTTCTTAAAGAGAGGGGAAAGTAAATATAGTAAAATTGTGTGCATACCTGGAATTATTAATTCATTTGCCAACCCTGCTTATAAAGATAAAAACTTGTTGCTAAGTTGACACAAAAATTAATGAGTATTTTTTAGTGTTAGTATAAAGTGAAATTACATCATCACTAAGTCCATGATGCTACTATAAAGAGGTTAAGAGGTTGGGACAACAATAGAAAGTTTTCAGAAACATATCAGTAATAATTACTGACAGCAAGAGCTCTGAAATATTAGAACAAATCCTCAAATGCAACAAAAAACAGTAACAAGTATCTAATTCTCAACTAGCAGAAACTTGAACTGAGGTGGCTTTTACTTGATGAAAATCCATTTATCAAAATAAATAAGAACTAAAAGTTCAGATTTTTACGAAATTATATATTTTATTATATAAAATCTTGAGATCTTGATAAAGACACGGTGTTGTCGAAACAATTGTCATGTCATAATATATAATTTCGTGAAAATCAGAACTTTTAGTTCTTATTTTTTTTTTTTGCAGAAGCTTTACCATCGTTTGACTTGTCAGGTAAATCCGGTACTTCATCATAGTACAGCAGTTCAGACAACCAAATAAGATCATTGAAGATGTGTCAACATCAAAACTTCAATGTAATGCAAAAGAAACATAAAAAAATATATATTGAAATAGGATAGCATCCGATTCATACTAGCACTCTCTCCAAATATAAATAGAGATAGATATAAATTCGTGTAATAATAATAGTGGTGAAATGACATGGAGCATAGGACCAAATAAGCTGGGTATATACTCATCTACTCATAAAGAAAATTTTATTTATCATGCAATAAAATCAAAATTAATGAATATTCTGGAAAAATGATCTAGTTTGGAATTTCATTAACACATACAAGTATTTTGGGGAATTTCTTAAATAACTAATACTAAACTTGTTTTACTCCCTATTTACAAAGTAGGCGGAGCAGAATAGAGTGAAGGACTTTTAGAACAATGTCAAAAAAAATGAAGTTTTTATAGTTATTTCTTTCCTGTATTTTGTTTGAAATAGTTTAGTGAATCCTTCTGCATTTTTTGAACCCTCACTCGATTATAAAAAAAATGAAAATAACTGCTTCCTTTAGCAAATGTGAATACAATTTTGATATATGAAAAATTGTTATATAAGGTTTTTGTAATTGAGTGGTCCGATTTTTAGTTATATTGACATATGGGTGTGGTTTTATAAAATAAAATTTCCCTATCATCATGTGCACAAGGCACGTATATAGATTACAGTGAACAAACAAACATGGCACGCTCTACAGGGCGATGAAGCCAGAATTCTTAGGACTCTCTATGGGCAGCACTACATCCAAACACCACAGTCTGGAAAAGTGACCTACCAATAAGGGCAGAAATGATCTGGTACACAGACACTTAAAAACCCAGGAACCCGTCACATAAATAAAAATTTCTATTCCAATGAGCATCTAGCAAAACCGCGTTCCAACCAAGAGAATTAAGGAATTATTTCCTTATATCCAACAAAAACTATTTTGTAAATATAACTTTTCTTTGCTTCCCTGCACGGTAATAGAAATGGCGTTGACTAGTTATATAATTTAGATACCTATGGTGAATAATATTAATCATAATAAATATATATAAGCTATTGCAACGACTATAAACGAATATGCGAATCAACATTCAAATGGGCAGAAAGAACATATGAAAGCTCCCAAGCTGTGAATACCTCGACCCATGCCACTGCCCTATTTTTATTTACACGCCAGGGTAATGACGTCCAATTATCTGCATGAAGAATTTTGTACGAACTCTGCTTTAATTAAATTGTAAGTAGGGTTCTAATGTCTCTAACCACACTGTTCCCTTATCTTGTTGCTTTCCTTTTAATTTTGCATCACGTCCATTATAGTCAGAACTATCTCCATGCTATTACATACTATTTTTGTCTCCCGATGCATGCCACTGCCTAATTTTTATTTACTAGCAAGGGTAATGACGTCCAATTATCTGCATGAAGAATTTTGTGCGAATTCTGTTTTAATTAAATTGTAAGTAGAGTTATAATGTCTCCTCCCACACCTTACCTTACCGTACCTTATCTCGATGCTTTCCGTTTAATTTTGCATCACGTCCATTATAGTCAGAACTATCTACATTCTATAACATACTATATTACAACATCATAGTTTCGTATCATTTTATTTTGAGTAGTACAAAGATTTCAATAAAGGTGGATTATTTAGTTCGATACTGAAGAGAGACAAAATGGGGTTTGCCGGCGAGCTGACCATTAATCGCAAAAAATCAGTTATAGTTTATAGGTTGTAAAAGAAATCATTTTGTGATCTAGAGGTGTTTTTTCCAAACACTATTGATCATTTCAAGTTTGACAAAGTGCTTAGGTATTCTGAAGTTATTTCATTTCATTTCATTAATTTCAGAAAATGTTCGGCGTTTCTTCGTGGTACATTGTAGGAATATTTTCGGCTGAATTAGTACCACAAATATCTGATCACACACATCACAAATTAATTTGACGTCTAAAACTGACACTTTCCACACATTTGTAATTACCTGGTCGCTAATATTTTTTCGAGGATTTTGAATACAAGAAAAATTTTGTCATATTAAAATGGTTGTTAAAAATCAAATACAAAATTTGAGGGAATTGAGGACAAAGACTTGATTGGTGACATAATTAATTTTGCCATATTAACCAAACAAATAATCCTTGAGCAGTTTTTATTACTCAAAAATTAAAACTAAATTTAATTTTAAATGAGGCAAAAGTTTCAAAGGACGCTTTGTAGCACACGTTACGGAAAGCATTAATTTAAGATTTAGATTTAGTTAGATTTAATTAAAAGTAGACGACTTCTTTTATTTGACAAAAACCTTAACATAAAAGTTTTTGAAATATTTTTGAAAAAGGAATCGTCAATTTTTGACAGGCGTAATTTTACCCAACGAGTCTGCCTGATGCTTAGCTGAAAGTGAAGCATAAACTCAACTAAAAAATTTGCCGATCGAACTCCTTGAAAGGCGATCATTCTAGTGCAAAAATTAGGTTATACTTTACCTCTATAGGTTTTAGGTATCGATGCGAATCCAGGGGAAGCAACAACCCTTGCAGTCTGCCGTACCGCGTCTGGACGATCCTCGTACTGATTTTCGCGTTTTTCATAAAACCATTATCCGCGACACACGAAGGCACACGAAAACCGATCATCCCAAAAATAAGAACAAAAAGCCTCAGTACACCTCTGCTTTTCATGCCCATCTTCGTTAAGTGGGAAACATGCCGGAAAAAAGAAAGAAATATTGCTCGGTATTAATTTGAATTTAAATTTGTTTTCGCGATAACGGCGGAAGTTTTAATGAAAAACCGCGGCGGTTTCCGGAGACGACGCGAGCGGCGAAAGTAAAAAATCGCGCAACATAGGAATACACTAAACGGAGCCGAAGTTTTAGATGCCTAAAGTTAATAATTGTTCCTTAAAGTTTTCACGGGCGAAATGAAGCTTCCATCCCTCTCAAGCAGACATAGTTGCAACGCATTTCGAGGTTGTTCGAGATCCCACGAAGTTCAACCTGAAACAAACAAAATGTGTGTTAAATTATGTCTAGAATGAAGTTTCTTTGTGAGTTACGCTTTAATCTGTTTCATTACCGCAGGGTAGCTACGACGGGAACCGTAACTTTAAATATAAAAAAAAGCATCCACGCGTCAAGGGTTATTTAGTTTTATAGTGGATTTTCCCTATCGTATTGTATATATGTGTACTTTGAAACAGAAAAGTCGAATAGGAAAGCTGGGGCATTTTTAGGTAAAACTATATTATATAAATATAACATAAAAACCAAAGCATTCGGATTGAACCTTTTTCCAAGACACAAAATGGCCCATCCTACTGTCAAATTCAACCATTTTCAGTTTTTATCACAGAATATGGGAAAAATAATGAAAAGACAAATTCATATTTATATGGGTACTAATGAATATTTCCCCCAAACCAATCCGAATTTCGCAGCGCAACCTAAAGTTACAATTGACATTACTCACTCCCTTGAGAACAGTCAACTTTGCTAAGCCGTTTGATTCAGTAAATCATAATTTCATTTTGTCAATATTGGATGTGAGTTTGATACTTAACTCATTGCCAACAGTATGTTCATCTTGACAAGAGACTGTCAGATGCTTGTGATGTGGTTGCTGGTGTTCCACAGGGAAGCATTCAGGCTCTTCTCCTTTTCGCAGTATGTACTTCACAGCCATATGTACTAGCCATATTTTCGCAGATCATAAACAATTGGCCAGAATGTGCTCTTTGGAATGAGGACTTTGAAACACTTCCTCGCATAGCAATGTACCATTAAGTATGAATTAACGATTCGAAAGAGGTAGCAGTTCTTTTTGTAGCGAGGTACATCGGGTTATTATTACTGAGAGCACGAAATTAAAAATTCTTATTTGTTATATTTTCGTAGATCCAAACATTTTCAACAATATGATAGTAATGCATGACCCAACAGCATTTGTGAACCCGCCTCATCAGAGAGCTAAAAGAAGGGCAAGTTGACTAATTTGATGTAATTGTTGGTTGACCGTGCTTTTTGTTTTTACAGTATTTTAAGTTAATAAACAGCTCATTAAGACCTGAAAACTTCTGGTGGTAGAAAATACCAAAGTGTTCGAAAGATGCGGACCACGTAATAGGAACTTTAGAAAAATATCTGTGATTGTGCAGTTAAAATTATATATTTCATTGTATTATAGCTATTGTTTATAGTAGTAACTATAATTGAATTGTACTGGATTATTTTGTTTTGCAGTTGTTTGGTTATCCCAGGTAGTATTTTTACCTATTTCAATAAGGGTTTCGTGTCTTCTTTGGCCACAATATTAAGGCTAAAACTATTTATATTAACTTGTAATTCGAGCTACTAATTCTACATCCTCCTCTCCAACTTATAATTAAATAGTGTAAAGCATATTGTATGTAAGTGAACTTTTCTTGATTTAAAGGCAGGTTATTAGCTACAAACTATTTACTAACCGTCCGCAGACCAATTATGACTTCATACACTCGCTCGTGCCCACTACAACTAGCAGGCAGAGAAGAATTAAATTTAAAAAAAATGGTGCCCCGTTACAACCTTGAGGTACTCCAATAGCAGTCAAAAATCAAAAACGTTGAAGAACGCTTTTGAAAAATGGATAGTCTTCCAATTCCTAAAACTCCAATATCAAGAGATGTATTATTATTGTTAGCATTGTAAAGAATAATAGTATATTATGCAACTCGTATGGTAAACGCAATTGAGTCATGCGTTTCGCACGAACACAAAATTTCGGAATTTTCTGTTTGCCTTAAAACCTATTTTTTTTTGAGTAAATTCCGTAACCGAAACTATTTCAAGAAATTAATATTCCTCCAATGATTCTCCATATTATTACATCCATAACAAACTTTGTCTCAAAAACACCCGCATTGATTTGAGAGGTGATAAATTATAATCGGTAGCTACTGAACACACAGTGTACTTATTATGAAAAGCTAGGTAAAGCACCAAACTAGGGATACATACATATAATTAGCCTTTCTTAAATTGTCAAAGCTATTTTATATTTTTAAATGGCATTACAGACAGAAGACAATTTTACTAGCAAAACGTCCAGTATGTATGTCACTTTAGTGACTGTGAGTCTTACATAAATGTGATTTGGTATGCATGACAGCTTTAACTGTAATATCATTTCAGTAAATTGCAATTATTTCATCATTTTAAAATCCAATTTTTGTCTAAGACTGAAGGTTTAGTTCACATTTGTGTTATATGATTTTATGTACTATTTATTATTTGTATGGCTAATTGCCTAACTTTTACTTAAAATTTGAATATGTTTCTCGCCCCTTTGGTATTTTTCTTTGTCTGCCGTTCCAAAATAATAATATCAAATAAATAACTACATAATAAGTTGGCTAAAAAATAAGTAATACTGATTATCATCCTGAAGACGTGCCCCCTGAGCAAGTAGGAGCATACAAAAATAAGCAACAAAATAGATTTCATCTTATGCGTTCCTTTCCTTCATTCTATCAACTAAATGGCCCCTAAAAATATTCTTTTATTCATTTATTATTTTTAAAGGAAAAACAGTCAAACGACATTTCACAGGTAATATACAATGCCTGAGCGAAAATTACTGATCTAATTTCAATAAAATATCCTAAATATTCTTTTGCAGATGAAGGTCATAAAAACTAATTAATACCTCTTCTTGGAAATTTTAAACAAGAACAGCCGTGAATAGAAAAATTTTTGAACTTGCGTAAATTTGGAAAAACAAGGCGGATCACAATTTTTGTATATGCTTTTTTTATCTGAAAATAAGTTTGCTTGTGTGAGGTTATCTAGTTTTTGAAAGAAATACGAAAAGTTGATATGCGCCGTTGAATATTTGCAAATATTGGAACTCAAAATTCGCTAAGCTTCTACTAAGAACCAAAAAGGCAAATTTTGCCAACTTTCGAAATAATTTACATAATCGTGTTCTGTGCATAACATACGCCGCAATTTGCTTTAAATTTAGCGTAATTGAATGGAAAACTTGCAACGACCGCCGCCACCCGCATCTCTAGGTTTCATTTCTGTATATCATAGTATAAAGAGGCAATCCTCCGAATTCAGACACAAGCAGAGAGAGAAATTTTCCTCTAAAATCTGGCGACAAAATCGAGTAGCACACCCGTGAGTCGGTTGTCCTATCTGGTCGAATTTAATTTCACTTCGATTCTGCGCATTATTAAATGAATAAATCTGACAACCTGTGGAATAATTGTGATCATCCATCACAACTCCTGACACAGCGTACAGCGCAGCAGGAGAGGAAAATTTACGCTGTTTGGCAGTAAAATTGCGAAATTATTGCCCGTTGTTTGGAAAGGCTGTAATGATTGTCTTGTACAAGGCTTTTATAAAGTTTTATTTATCGTCGTGTCCCGGCTGTAGTGGCCAGCGTTTTATTGGTTTTTCGGACGTGACATAGTACAGCTCTTTGCGAGATAGGAAATTATTTATCGCGCGAGTTGAGTTTCCGTCGCCACAAACGTAATATCGTTTCAGGTGTCAGAATTATTATTTTCTGTATACAAATATATTCTATATATTCTCAGGCAATATCCACAAAATCAAGATGTAATCTGAAGTTCTGTGGACCAATACTGAAATGAAAATATGAAAGTAGATATTTACAAATATATCCGAAGATCGCAAAAAAGACTAGATTGCCTGCAAGGGAATATTGCATTATATATAATTAACCGTATATTATTATAAAAATCATTGGAAATATATCGACATGTTAAGCGAAATCAATAATTAGTTTCCTGATGATTGGCGAAACGTTAGTAAGTTCGACCCAACAAAAACCGACGCAGGAGGAATCCAGAAGCTTTGTAAAAAGTAATAAAGGTTGCTTAGAGCCAACACTGATAGCAATAGCAAATCAACACACTGAAAAAGTATGCAGGGTGTGAAAAGAATGCCGCAACAAACAATTGAGAGTAAAATATATTATAATGGGTGTATTTGTTATCTTCATGGTAAAATCGAGAGAGCTGAGGTACTTTGCATATAATAAAACTAAGTAAAACTAAAACAAAATACCGTTTTCGTACACGCACTAGCTAATTTCTAGAAAAACAAATACACTGTGGCGTCTTCAACTAAAAAAAGATAAAACGTAAGCGTCCATTTTTTCCGGTCGCATTTGAATAGCTTTACGTACATGTCTATTCCTAACTGAAACTCTTTGCTGCACTGCCACGAATAAAAGAAAACTTTTTTTTAAATGCACATATATCTGCGGCTGCCATTAACACGAGCATGCCCTTTAAAAATAAAATTTTGTATTTCCTATATAACAAATTTAAAAAATGGATGAAAAAAATTGTTTTGCCCTAGCACTAAGGATTTCCTACGGCAATTGTACAACGCAAATATGAAAATTTTGCATTGATATCAATATTATTTTTATTAACTATATTTTTTCTGTATATATTTAGCGGTAATCAATCACTTCAATATTTTGATGAATTTAGTAGGTAAATATTATTTTATTCAAAAACATATTTTCGTTTTTTGATTAATACTATGTGATGAGTCTATTTGTGGACAATATTACTCACCCATGTTGAAATCAATTCGTGATCCACTTCATGGAATGTTTTGTTTAATAATTTTGTATCTGATGAAAAATGAAATCAGATGAATTCCGAATCAGAATTTGTTCGATTGATAGAAACAACAAATGTACATCAAAACAAAGAAACAAAGGATATCGGCAAATTGAAATATTTGGTTATTATTTTCGAGGGAAAAAATACATGTAAACATCGGTAAACCGATATATCACACGGTTGCTTTCTACTAATTTGGTTAATCGAGGTTGCGTCCGCTTTAACCAAATAATTAAAACTTTTTAATTACTTTCACTTTCGGGACAATATTACTGACATCGATCCATTCCATCACAACTTTCGTAATTAAAGGTAATCCCAAACGTATCCATGTTTACGAAACCTAAC